CATACACATACACATACATATACACATACATACATCCATACATGCATGCATGTATGCATGCATGCATACATCAATTCATACAAACACACTTACATATCATACGAATATACATACCATACATGCATGTATGTATGCATGCATCCATACATACAAACATACCTACCTACCTACCTTCGTGCATGCATGCATGCAGACATACATGCACATACGCCTACACGTACACGTACACAGACACATACACAGGTACATCCATCTATGATATATATATATATATATATATAGATGTATACATATGACATACACATTACTAATTTGCAACGAAGGATGCGGATACTGGAAGGAAGATCCGGGGACGGGAGACGAAGGGCGAGGCGGGGGAGGAGGAGATGGAGGAGGAAGAGGAGAAGAAGGGGATGATGAGTAGACGCAGCATAATCGTCATAAGAGGTACAGCGAAGAAGAGGAGTAAAAGAAGGAGGGATCAGCAGGAACAGCAGGGAGGAGGGAGTGAACAATACATCTGACAGAAGAAGAGGGGAAAAGGAGGAGGAGGAGGAGGAGGAGAAAGAAGAGCAGGAGGAGCAGGAGGAGAGGGAGGAGAGAAGGATGAGAGGGAGGAGAAGCAGAAGGCAAAAGGAGGCGGAGAAGGGGGAGGAGTAACCGTAGAACCCTCCAGAGCCCCCCAAACAATCCCCCCCGTAGAAGCATGTCCCTCCTCACCCATCTTCCTCACCCTCCGTCCTCTTCTCGCATCCCCCTCCTCCTCCTCCTCCTCCCCCCGGACGAGAAGGGGAGGTGGAGGAGGCGGAGACGAGGTGAACGCAGCGCCGCGCGCTACAAGGAGCAGCCGACCAGCTTCTTTAAAGCCGATTGCCCCGCTCCCCCGCGGCCGAGCCCGCGAGGGAGAAGGAGCAGAGAGGGCGCCAGGCAGCGGGAGGAGACTGGGATGGGGGACGGCAGGTTCGTGTCGTGACGATCCTGGATTTAGCTTCTGGCACCGCATGAACCGTTCCACCTCGGACAATCGGCGGCACTCCGACCGCCAGATCGTTCCATGTATTAGCCGATTCTGGGGCAACTGGCGGCGGTCAACCTTGAACGCCCGCGGCGGGGTCGACGCCGAGTAGGTACGACGCGAACCTCCAGTAAGCGGGGAGGGGGGGGAACACAAGGAGCGGAAGAGGGAAACGGGAAGGAAGGAGAAAGGGCGGAAGGTGGACCCAGAACTCCGACGTCGTGTTTTTCACAGCACGCCCATATCAGTTTTCCAGGACGAGAGGCGGTGGAGGAGGAGGAGGAGGAGGAGGAGGAGGAGGAGAGGAGGAACAGGAGGAGGAGGAGGAGGAGGAGGAGGAGGAGGAGGAGGAGAGGAGGAACAGGAGGAGGAGGAGGAGGAGGAGGAGGAGGAGGAGGAGGAGGAGGAGCAGGAGGAACAGGAGGAGGAGGAGGAGGAGGAGGAGGAACAGGAGGAGGAGGAGGAGGAGCAGGAGGAGGAACAGGAGGAGCCACCGCGGGGTGGGGTCGGTCGGGAGCCCTGGGGCCGCGGCATGGACGAGCACATCGGAGGATGCCAAGGGGGTAGGGGTGGGGCTCTCGGCGGCCTTCGGTCGGCCCTCGGCGGACTCGAGTGCGCGGCCTCGTCGCCGTCGCCGGCGCTGAAGGGCGAGAGCCCACGACGCGCGATGGGCGGGATCTCTCTCCAGGACCGTCGCCTCGGGGATGGATCTGCGCGGACCTCGGCGAGCGGCGGATGTGGACATCTTTGAAGGGGCCCTGGGACACACAAATAAATACACACAAATAAAATGATTCCCTAGGTTTTCCCAAATCTTCTGGGTTTCTGTCTTCCCGCCCAATTCCCATATTTTCTCATATTTTCTGGGGGATCGACGATTAATTGTGTCTGTGTGTTTTTTCCCCTCCTGAACATCTTTGGACGCCCCCAGGGCCCGAACATGTCCATATCTCCACCGCCTGCCGAGGTTCCCGGAGATGCATATCCCAGGCGGCGACGACGGACCAGTCCCCGCCTCGGTTCGAAGAGGGGCCGGCGACGTCCAGAGGCCGTCCGAGGCCCCCCCCCCTGGGGAGGGGCCGGGGGGGGAGGACGGCGTCGGGGCGAGGCCGCGGCTCTAGCCGCGCGGGGCGGGGGGGAAAGGGCCGAGGATGGCCAGCCGGGCGGGGCGAGGAGGGGAGGAGGGCGGAGTTGAGGGAGAGGAGGGGGGGAGGAGACTGGGCGAGGAAGGGAGAATGGGGAGTGGAGAGAGGATGATGATGATGCTGCTGCTGCTGCTGCTGCTGATGATGATGATGATGATGATGATGATGATGATGATGATGATGATGATGATGATGATGATGAGGATGAGGATGATGATGAGGATGAGGATGATGAGGAGGAGGATGAGGATGATGAGGACGATGAGGATGATGATAATGATGAGAGGTGAGGGTGGAAGCACGGGAAGGAGGACCGGGAAGACAAGCACGAGAAGGAGGGGCACGAGGAGGGAAGGAGGCGAGGGAGAGGAGAGTGGGAGGAGGCGAGAAGCGGTGCAGCAGGGAAGGAGGGCGAGAAGAGGAAGAGGGCAGGGTTGAGAGGAGGAAGGGGGAGGGAGAGGACGGGGAGGTGCGACGGGAGGGGTGCATGGGGAGGGAGGAGGGAGGCGGGGAGTGGAGGAGGGAGGACGGGGCCATGAAGAGACGATGTGTCGGGTCGGCTGCACGGGACGGCGCACCTTCCCGTGCGGCCCCAGGAAAGGGGTGCCGAGGGGGGGAGGGGGACGACTTGTGCAAACCCAAGGTGCAGCAACGATGTCGCAATCAACCCTCCAAGCTCCATCTTCATAGGTCCCCACAAAAAACCTTGTGGGCAGGGCCCCATTGGAAGACAACCGTTTGAGAATCCTCAATCGTACCCACACGACATCCCTGGAACTTCAAGGCCCCGAATCAACGTGACTGTTGCGTCTGAACAATCTGGGATCGTGCCAGAACGCCATTCCTGGGACTTCAACCATACGAGTACTTCACACTTTTGCAAACTTTAACAACGGGTATGCCAAGCGCCAAGGCGAGCGTCTCATTTTGAACACGTCCCGCCCTCCATCCTTGAGGCGGATGAAAACGTGTGCAACGAATGCGCGCGGCGCTAAGGCGAGGGTCAACAGCATGAAAGCCAGCCGCCCCCCATCCTTGAAGCTGCATCCGAACCGTTTAAACGAATGTGCGCGGCGTCAGGGCGAGGGCCAGATGTTGAAAACAAGCCTCCTCCTCCTCCTCCTCCTCTTCCTCCTCCCCCTCTCCTCGTCCTCGTCCTCGTCCCCGTCCTCGTCCTCGTCCTCGTCCTCGTCCTCGTCCTCCTCCTCCTCCTCCTCCATCCTTGAAGCTGCTGCAGGTTTCTGGCCTCAGGATCGCCGGTGGTGAACAAAGCCTCCAGCGAAGAGGCCCAGCCCGCCCTGCCAGCACGTCCAGGGTGCGACAGGGAGGGGCCAGGTATCAGGGAAAGGGAGGGGAAATGGAGGAGCAGAAGGAGGATGAGCAGCAGGGAGGAGGGAAGGATGCTGGTAGAAAGGCAAGGAGGTCTGGAGGAGGAAGAGTCATGTCACAGTGGCCACATGGTAGGAAGACGTCCACATGAGGGTGAGGAGGAGCAAGAGGAGCAAGATGAGGGAGGAAGAGGAATCTGAGAAGGAGAAGGAGGACACTTCCCGTTCCAAGTCCCCTCCTCCTAAATCATATCACCGCATGTCCCTACGAGTAGTCCATTTCCCTGCGGGGAACGCCCTCCTTGAGTGACGAGCGCCTGACGTGCTCAGAAGAGGAAACGCAAGGAGGCAGAATGAGAAACATCAAAACAAAGGCCGACGATAATCCGATGCTGAAAAGAATCTGCACTCAAGCCGTGTAGATGTTACACACAATCAGAAACATCTGGTCATATCTTCCAAGGGCGGGCTAACAGCGATGTTGCTCAACGGTGATGTTGGGAACTCAATCGTAGAACATCGCGAACCACAGTTTCCTACATCTCCTATCTGCGAACGGATCGAGCGAACACGACACAGCGAGTTGTAGGAAAGCGCGAGCCACGCGTTCCCACACTACCGAAACCTACATCGCCGTTACCTACATCGCCGTTAGCCCGTCTACGGATCTTGGCCCAAACTGCAACCGATAACACCCTTTTGAAAAGAAGCCGCCATCCACGCGTCCAAACGTTGCGCAAGTCGGGAAATTCTGGCCATCATATTTGCGGGATTGTCAAGCGAAATCCGCAGTTGAAAACGGACCGGCCTTCCTCGTTGTCCCTGCTGCAAATTTGGAGCACGATCATGCGCAGCGCTAAGGCAAGAGCCGCATCAGGGAAACCACCGGCCGCCCGTCCCGCGCAAGTGCTGGGAACTCTGAACATGAAGGGGCCCTGGGACACGCAAACAAATACACACTAATGACAGGACTCACCACAGTTCCCCATACGTTCTGGGCACTTTTGTCTCCCCCCCCCACTTCCCGAATGTTGACCCTATATTCTCTGGGGGAATCGACGATTCCTTGTGTCTGAGTTTTTTCCCCTCCTGAGAAGACGGGGGTGCGCGGCGCGAGGGCGAGAGGGCCGCGTTCTGAAGACCACCGGCCCCCGGCCCCGCAGCCGTCTGGAGGCCTTCGAAGGTGCGGCAGCGCGGCGTTCGAGCGAGCGGCGCGTCGTGGAGGCCACCGGCACCGCACAGGCGCAGCAAAGAGTGGAGAGAAGCGTCGTCGGGCCCCGCGGGCACGTCTGGCGGCGCAGCAGGGGGGAAGGGAAGAAAGAGGGATGGAGGAGGAGGAGGAGGAGGAGGAGGAGGAGGAGGAGGAGGAGGAGGAGGCTAGGAGAGAGGTTAGAGAGAGGCTGGGAGGAGAAGGGAAGTGGCCAGAGTGGCCCCAGGGCAGAGCGTCAACTCTGGATGGAGGGGAGGAGCGGCAGCAAGAATGAGGAGGAGGAGGAGGAGGAGGACGAGGAGGGGAGGACGAACAGGAGGGGGGGGAGGAGAGACGAGGGGAGGAAGCGCGCAGGCGCGGAGGGGAGGAGGCAATGAGGGAGGCGCGAGGAGAGACAGGGAGGCCAGGGGAGTCCCTGGGATTCCGCTCGGCCGCCCCATGGCGCGGCCGTCCATCGCCGCCAGGCCCCCCTCGCCTTGGAGGAGAGTCGGGTCGTTGGAGCGGCGCCCTGCCCCGACGGGGCGGCTGAGGCTCGACCTCCCGCCCGCTCGCCTTCGCCGGCCCCCCTCGCCCGCCCACTCCTCCCCACCTCCGCCCCCGCCCCGCGCCGCTCCAGCCCGCCTGGGCCTGCAGGGGGGGGGGCGCCAGGCCCCCGCCCCCCCCCCCGCCCCCCTTCGCCCACGCCTCCGACCCTCCCCCCTTCGTCCCCTCTCCCTCCGCCCACTGCTCCCTGCTCTGCTTATGGCTCCCGGTCCTGGCCCCGAGCGAACCGCTGCTGCGAGAAAGCGGGTCTATTCGAATCGGACTGGCCAGGTCGGAATGCGCCCCCCGCTGCCGTCCCCGTTCCCCGCTGGCCCCCCGGCCGAGCACATTCGGGAGTGGTGGCGAAGTGCTCCACGTCGAGTGGGCCCGAGTCGTATTTCCCGCCCCCTCCCCGCCTCCTCCTCCTCCTCCTCCTCCTCCTCCTCCTCCTCCTCCTCCACGTTCTCCTCCGCCACCTTCTCCTCCCTCCCCCTCAGGAATAAGGCCGATCGCACCCCCTTCGGCCCGTTCACGAATCATCCCGGACGGATTGCAACCACACACGGACTGATCGCAACCTGTAGGATTCCAACTGAAAAGGTACAAGTAGAACACTGGAATATAACCACCAAGCACCAAAGCCCCAAGCCCAAACCCCAAACACCAAACGCCAAACATCGAAGACCAAACATCAAACACCAAACACCAAACACCAAAATCCAAAACCCAAACACCAAGCACCAAAACCAAACCCCAAACACGTTGCGATGACGTTGATGATGGCGTTGATGGTGATGGCTGGTCATGGTGATGGCGATGTCAGCGATAGTGATGGAGGGGGGCAGGAGTGGAGGGCCATCAGTTGCCTTTGGCGTGCTCCTCGACCCTCGTCATCGCCTGCCCGGGGACGATCAGCCCGAACCAGCCCTGGGCTTTTTGTGTGCTCCAAAGCTGTCTCAGGCTTTGGGCCCGTCCCTGCTGCTTTTTCCGTCAACTTCTTTTGTCAGCCATCGATGATCGCGCCCATCGTCTCCGTCCCCTGATCCACTCGGTCCTGGATGAAGCCCAAGAGAGGCGCAAGAGTGCCCCGACAGGAGCCCGAGCGGGCCCCTATGGGGGCCCCAAGAGGGCCCCGAACGGAACCAGCCACATGCGGGGCCGGCAGGTTCCGTTGGGGGCCCTCTGGGCGCTCTCTCGGAGCCTTCGGATCATCTGCTACGTGGATCGTCAAAGTCTGTATCTCTGCGGGGGCCTCTCTAAAAACCTCTCACGCGGCACATCCGAGCCCGCGTGTAGACGCTGGGCTCTAGGATACATGCCCGTATACGATGTTCCCGAGCGTGCTTGAATGTGTATTGCACGCATGAGCCTCGCAGTGGGTGCGCGTCAGTGGCGCTCGTGTTTCTATGGCCGGCCACGGCGGGCCGCATGATCTAATAGAGGCCGGGACCGACACCGAAGAGAACAAACATATAACAAGTCAAGATCGTTGTACACATGGCCTGCGCACCACCACTACTACTACTACTACTACTACTACTACTACTACTACTACTACTACTACTACTACGACTACTATAACTACTACTACTACTACTACTACTACTACTACTACTACGACTACGACTACGACTACTACGACTACTACTACGACGACTACTACTACTACTACTGCTACGATTGTTACTGCTACCGATACTGCTACTACTACTACTACTACTACTGCTACTACTATTACTACTACTACTACTACTACTACTACTACTACCTACTACTACTACTACTACTACTACTACTACTACTACTACTACGCTACTACTGCTACTACTACTACTACTACTACTACTACTACTACTACTACTACTACTACTACTACTACTACTGCTACTACTGCTACTACTACTACTACTACTACTACTACTACTACTACTACTACTACTGCTACTACTACTACTACTACTCTCTACTACTACTACTACTACTACTACTACTACTACTGCTACTACTACTACTGCTACTACTACTACTACTACTGCTACTACTGCTACTACTGCTACGACTACAACTGCTACTAATACTACTGCCACTACTACTCCTACTGCTGCTACTACTACTACTAGAACTACTGGTATCATTACTATCACTACTGCTACTACTGCTACTGCTACTGCTACTACTACTACTACTACTACTACTACTACTACTACTGCTACTACTACTACTACTACTACTACTGCTACTACTGCTACTACTGCTACTACTACTACTACTGCTACTAATACTACTACCACGACTGCTACTACTGCAAGTACTACGACGCCTACTGCTACTACTACTACTACTACTACTACTACTACTACTTCTTCGACTACGAATACTACCACTACCACTACCACTACCACTCCTACTACTACTACTACTACTACTACTATTACTACTACTACTACTACTACTAGTAGTAGTACTACTACTACTACTACTGCTACTACCACGACTATGACGAATACAACGACGACCTTGACTACTACGAGAACTACTACTGCTACTGCAATTGCT